CTCCGCGTGCACTTTTTTGTATGTGTGTTCACGGCACACATTGTGTGTTCGCGCGTGCACACATGTGCGTTCCAACTGGACACGTGTTTGTGTTCCAGGAGGACACATGTTTGTTATCAGATGAACGCGTGTGTGTGTGTGTGTGTGTCTGCTCCGCGTGCGCATGTATGTGTGTTCATTTGCACACATATGTGTGTTCCACATGTACACATTTGTGAGTTCATGTGTCCACACATGTTTGTTCCAATTGGACACGTGTTTGTGTTTCAGGTGAATACATGTTTGTTTTCAGATGAACGCACGTGTGTGTGTGTGTTCCGGGTGCGCATATATATATATAAATATGTGTGTGTTCACGTGTACACATATGTGTGTTCACGTGTACACACGGTTGTGTTCCAATTAGACACACGGTTGTGTTCCAGGAGACCACGTGTTTGTTATCAGATGAACACTCGTGTGTGTCTGTGTTTTCCGCGCGCGCATAAATGTGTGTGTTCACATGTGCAGTACACATGTGTGTGTTCCACGTGTGCACATGTGTGTGTGTTCACGTGTGCGCATTTGCGTCTCCCACGTGTACACATATGTGTGTTCACGTGTACACACATGCGTGTTCCAATTGGACACGTGTTTGTGTTCCAGGAGAACACATGGTTGTTATCAGATGAGCACACGGGTGTGTGTTCCGGGTGCACATATATGTGAGTGTTCACGTGTGCACATATGCGTGTTCACGTGTGCACATATGTGTGTTCCACGTGTACGCACATGTGTGTTCCAATTGGACACGTGTTTGTGTTCCAGGTGAACAGATGTGTGTTTCACGTGAACACATTAGTATGTGCTAGATGAACTTTTTTTGGCATCTGACGACATATTTGCTCTCCAGGTGTGCACATGTATGCGCTCCAGAAAACGCATGATTGTTTTCGAGGTGCGCGCATGTGTGTGCGATTTAGGTGAGCATTTATGTTTGCTCACGTGTGCGCATATGTGTGTTCCACATGTACACACATGTGTGCTTTAATCGCACACGCGGTGTTCCAGGTGGACACATGTTTGTGTTCCAGTGGTATACATATGTGTGTCCCACGCGTACACACATGTGTGCTTTAATTGCGCGTCTTTGTGTTCCAGGTGAACGCATGTGTGTTCCACGTGTACACACATGTGTGTCTGAATTGGACACGCGTTTCATTGTGTTCCAAGTGAACACACATGTGTGTTCCACGTGAACGCATTAGCGTGTCGTAAGTGAACACATATGTGCGTTCCACGTTTGCACATGTGTGTGTGTGCTTTCCAAGAAGCACATGTTTGTTTTCCAGCTCAACACATTTATGCGTGTGCCGCAGGTGAATGTATACTGTTTCAGTCGTATACGTATGTGTGTTCCACGTGTACACACATGTGTGTCTGAATTGGACATGTGTGTTTGAACTGCCCATGTGACTGCGTGCTTGCGCGGCCACACTTGCGTTCACGCGCGCGCGCTCGCCCGCCATCGCGCGCGCTTGCCCAACCTCAGTTCTGGCGCGGTGCTGAAGCGCGAAGCATGCCAGCAACACACGTGCAGCAACGCAACGCGCGCCAGGTTCACGACTGCATCCTTTTGATTCATCCGTGTTGAAGCGCAGAAAGCCACAAGCTGTTGGCATGTTTGTGCTCGCCCGTCAGCCCTCAACTGTTTGGGGTCTCTGCTGGTGTATTTTGTTGATATGCTTTCTATATATATATATACAATGTAACATATATATATATGTCCCTTGGGCCCCCCCCCCCTCCCCTCCCTCGCCCCCTCCGCCCCCCTGTCTGGATCTCTGGATGTTTGGTTTTCTGGATGTCTGGCTCTCTGGTTTGCCGGATCTTCGTAGTCTTCCGTGGTCTTCCGGCTTCTTCCCGTAGTCTTCCGTAGTCTTCCGGCTTCTTCCCGTAGTCTGCCGTAGTCTTCCGGCTTCTTCCCGTAATCTCCTAGTCTTTCGATAGTTTTTCGGGACCAAACAACACGCGTTAGGACTCAATCGCGTGTCCTGTGCTTTCGGGCTTCTTCACTTGGCTTTGGGGTAGTCTTCCCCCACCCCTCCGCCCCCCCCTTGTGTCTGTCTATGTCTGTCTACGTATCTGCGTCTGTCTTCGTGTCCGCGAAGACCCCCCTGCCCCTGCGTGTCTGTCTGTGTCTCTTTGCGTCTGTCTGTCTGCGTCTGTCTTCGTGTCCGCGAAGACCCCCTGCGTGTCTGTCTCTGTCTCTTTGTGTCTCTTTGTGTCTCTTTGTGTCTGTCTGCGTCTGTCTACGTATCTGCGTCTGTCTTCGTGTCCCCTGCTTGTCTGTGCGTGTGTCTCTTTGTGTCTGTCTGGCTCTGCGTCTGTCTTCGTGTCCGCGAAGAGCCTCCCCCCCCCGCTGCGTGTCTGTCTGCGTCTCTTTGTGTCTGTCTGTGTCTGTCTACGTATCTGCGTCTGTCTTCGTGTCCGCGAACGGGTCTGTGCAGGCGTGCTTTCTCTCGTCCCGGGCCGAAATTCTAGGGTGTGTGGGGGCGGCGGAACCAGGCCGCAGGCCACTAAATATAGGGCTCAGACCGACTCGGACCCTCGCCGGCACACGCAAAAACTCCCCATCCAAAAACAACAGGCTCTATTTCTGGACCATGAAGCCAGCCAAGGATTTTCCTCTCTTTGAAACACAGCATTCTTGGCAACGCCCATTGCAAAACCACTCTCTGGTCGAAAAATCCTCGTGCCCCGAGGCGCTCCAGGCGCAACACCCTGGCGGCAGGACGGATTGATGGGTGAGGGAGATGACTCGACTGGCCCCCAAATTGGGGGAATAGATGGAATAGTATCTGTTTTCCTCTCCCTCTCTCTCTCTCTCTCTCTCTCGCTGGTGGGCGAGAATCCAAGAAAGAACTGCTCTGATGGATGGCCATTTCGGATAAATCAACCGTCCAATGTGCCACTGGTTGCAGGAGTGCCATACAATTCCAGCATAGCACGCATGATCAGCACTGCGCACAAAGGAACAGGTTGAGGAGATGCGCCTTCTGGTCCAGCGAAATGTGCCCGAAGCCTCTCCACTTGTTGAAATCAATTACCTTGGTCCGCTCCCACAACGGCATTCAATTCTTCGCCAGGATTTAAGAACCTGTAAGGGTTCAAGAACCTGTGGGAAGAGTTTCTCAAGCCATCAAGCTGGGCATGGGGGTTGCGGGCAGCATGACCAGCCAATGCGCAGCATGATGCATTGAAACTATGTCGAATCCACAGCTGTGACACAGCTAAAAGCTTTTTGCGTGCCAAGCTGCAGATCCTGTGTAGCGTGCATCCTGGTCGAAAGAGCACGCCGGATTAAATAATTCAGCCTCCCTGATGTACGATGACGGAAATGTGTGGCTTCGAACTCGCCTGAAGAACGCACCTCTCAAATTGTCTGAAGAACACGTTCTAAATAGAATCAAGATCAAGAAAGCAGAACAGGCTTGACCAAGAAATCATCGAATCCAGGATGGGCTCGGCCAAGCGTGATTCTTCAGTTCACACCGGTCCCCTCGCAGAAGGGCTCCATGTATCAATGACAATCCCTCAATGAGCTGAGAACGAAACTCTTGTTTTTACTTCTGAGCGCCACCTTCCATGGTGTCAACTCCAACAAACATGACGTATGGCCACTTGATGGCATGGTTGTTCGGATATTTCACAAAACAATAACTGGGGCCACACTCCTTGTCCACGGTGAAGTCATCAGGCAGAGTTGCCGGCGCATCATTTCCTGGCTTCGACTCGCCTGGCAAAGCTTCGAGAGTACCATTAAAACTCTGCTGGGCCATTGAGTTGTGGCTCCCGCATCCTCAGCCGGAACCCTCATGGAAACCTTCTTTCTCTCTCTCTCTGTCTCTGCCGTTGTGCCCAGAAGGTCTCTCATGGAAACCTTGTGACCTACAGTTTTCAAATGGTTCGTTTGACAGAACAAATCGGCCAGCCATTCTGTGGAGGGGAACGCTCAGTTTTTCAAAGTCTTCCACACACCGCCTTTCCTCGTTTCCTTGATGCGACTTGTCATTGTCGGAGCCACAAAAACAACCGACACAGGCCGAAGAAGCCGTGGCCTTGCCTGCACTCGTCTTTTGAATTGTCTTCTGGACTCCTAATGTCATAACCTGATGTCTGCCGTAGGATGCTTGAGCCGCACAGCTATGCACCAAGCATTTGGATATTCGCTGGAAAAAGGGGGCATTCCTGCATGTTGACACTCTACAAATTACCCCTCTGAACTTCCTGCTCCTTCAAGGGGATCGTGCTTTCAGCTTGCAAAGTCGCCCCCTTGACCAACTAGCACCACAAGGTCGTTGTTCAAGAAGCTTGCCAAACCTGCCTTGGCAGGCCTGCACGGCCGCTTGATTTTTTGGTGCACTGCTGCACTCCAGTTTAATGCAAAGGACTGCGCCAGGGCGGAACATACTATGTGGATGCGTTGCAACATGGAAAGCGGAGAAAACACACAGACACACACGCCCACACCAGCTAAATTAATTCAGCATATCCAACGACAGAAATATGACGACTTTCTCAACTGCACTACTTTTTGGGAAGCTTGTTCAAAGGTACGTCTGCATTTGGTGGTCCGAATGTTTTAAGATGGCCAGGGGTGGCCCCCATATACCGTCCCTGGAGTCCTGTGAGACAATGAATTCAGCTGCATCCGGGTCGGCCCTGCGGTTCGCGTGGGACGCTATCCATCCGGCTGCAGCCATGCGCGCTTGCTTCCCGCCAAGGGGTTGAAAGCTTCAATCATAAGCTTCGGCTGGGGATGCCCTGCCACTCAGGCTGGAAGCAGTGGCGAGGGTGACACGGGCACGCCGATCTCTTGGCGAGTCGCGCATGCACAGTACCGAGAACTACGAAAGATTGCAACAAGGGCTTGAACCTCTCCTTCGCACACTGGATTTAAAGGGGTGCCAAGATGCATGACCTACTGTGCCATCTGCAAATTCTAAACACAAGACTCTCTCGGCTTGGCGCGGCCAGTGGCAGAATCTAGCAGGATTGTTTTCGACTTGTTTGGTTTGCCCTGGAAAGGTCCATGACATGTCGGGGGCCTGTATGCCCCAAACAGCTGAGCCTCAGCCATGGTATCCAGCTTGCACTAAGCCACGGGCCTTTGGGAAGGCCGCCTCAGTCCACTCAACCGGTCACTTGTGACTTGCTCTGCGCATGGCGATGACTTTTGCATCTGCGCACTACGCAATAAGCGTATTTTAGCGACCCCAACTCACCATGCCCTACAGAAAGTGACCCAGTTCAGGTGTCTCAGCAGAACTTGCGCGTCACAACCTCACCCCCAAGAGAATGAGCTCCCAAACGCTTGACCAACTCCTCGCAAAGCCCGATCCCTGCCTTGCCATCCTCCTGTTCCGGGGGATTCATCGGGTTACCACCCGCGGCTTTCACGCCCCGACCCTTGCGGCTGGCAGTGCCAGGCCGGCCAGCGGACTTCATCCGCTTGCCTTGGACGTGCATTTGCTGCAGAATCTGGAAGGAAACTGGCAACTGGCTAGACGTTTCGGTCGAGATCTAGCGCCAGAAAATTGGTCTTCCCGCGGATCAAGCATGACCATGACAGTGCAAAGCTGGCTTATGCTGGCTTGTCAGCAAGCATCAGCCCAACTTGCGAATCCCTCTACTCATACTGGGTCCTGTTAAGAAGCACTGGTTCCAGGCCCTCGGTCATAACTAATGGCGGTGTGCCGAAAACTTTTTCAAACTTTGCACCAAGCACCACCTGCCCAAATAGTTCAAAGCGGCAGGACCTAGTTACTTAGTAACTGTTTTGCTTTCTAGCCGTGAGTATTTCATCACTCCAGTGGGGCAACGTAATGCGGCGGGGCATGCTGCTTCCTTGCCTGGGGCTTCTTTCAATTTATTTAGTTACGTCTAGTCGACCATTGCGAGCATTGTTGACCATTGGTTGGTTTAGAGCTTGGAGCAGCCCAATCTTTAGGGCAACTTGTCAGCCCAGCTGCCATTCTTTTGCACGGGCCGTGTCTCTGCACGCTGCGCCCCTCCATCTTCCGTGTAGGCGAAGTACACGTTGGGCCGCTCGTTCATCATCGCCACTGGGTCTGGGCTTCCATCGGGGCCCCCCGAGCGGCGCATGCGCTCCCCATCATCATCCAGGATCCGGCCCCGCCGCCGCACACGGTTCCCGGCCAGATCTACGTTTCGGATAACCCACTCATCAGAAGACTCATCGAAATGCGCGCGCTCCACAATTTGCTGGTAGTGCTCCATCGGGATGAAATTTTCTATCGTCAGGCACACCAGCTTCACCTCAGGGTTGCTCGAATTAGAGCGGCTGATGCACCGATCACTGAATTATGCTAGGAATATCTAGGAATACAAGTGAAATCTATACTTTCTGCTCCCAGCCAGGCACCTCCTTCCGAAGCTCTCGGATGGTCTCCAGCATGTCCTCCCTTTGGGTCTGAAATTCCTGCTGTAAATCCTCGACCTCCTCTTGCGTCTGCTTGTGCCGGTCCCAAAGCTTTTCTAGCTTTGAAGTCAACTTTGTCACCTGGCAAGCGTGGCTGACCCCAGTCTCAGAGTCTCCCCGTTGCAATTCACCCCTGGTCTCCCGCAGTCTCGGCCTGCTCCTCCGTGGAGGCATACTTCTCCTCCAGGTTCAGCTTCTCTTGCTCCTGCTCCTCCAACTCTTCCTGCCTCAACAAAGAAGACCCCCAATCCCCCGCCCACTACGCTCAAACCATCTGACAAGGACAATGACAATAGTTGCGCACTGGAGCCAGAACTATGTCATGAGAAAAGGGGAGCACATGAGAAACGACACACGCCCACACAGACAGGCCAGGCCCACAAGCCACAACAATTGATTTTAAGACACGGCAATTCCTTGGGCTAGCGTTGCTGAGTCCACATCAAACTGTTTCCCCCCATCCGGGGTGGTGTGCTCCGGGAAACCAAGTGCGCAAGTTCCTCGGACATGGAATGCTGGCCCTGCCCTTGTAGTCAAACTTGCCCTATCCCCTTTCTGCTTCCCAGTGGGAGGGCGCATTTGATTCAGTTCCTACTGCAAGCTCCCTGACCCTTGTAACAGCCCTGTTCCCAAAGCCATTTAATCCTGGCCCGCTACGCCACTCGCACCAGCCAACACCAAAAGAAATTGGAGGGAACTTCCATGTTTGGTGAAGCTAAATCAACTCCAAAAAAACCTGAGATCACCGAGCGGTTCTTTTGGCACACCATGCCCAAAACATCAACCCCACAAAAGAATCGGGCGGAAGGGAGGGGGGCAAACAAAATTCCTTGCCAATGTGCATCGTGCGATCCAACATGGTCCCGGCAAATGTTTGCTTTTCCCTTTCTGTGATACCAACGTTTACCTTGTGACTACTGTGTCTCTTTGAGGTGGCTTCCTTTTGTACAGACAAAGAAGGCCTAAAACCCTTCCACAAAGACCTGCCTGCCAATTCACCTGAACACCAGAGGGCTTTCTTTGACTATGGGTCAAAAGCCCATACCCCCAGTGAACATCCCAATCGTCACTAAAACAGATTCCCAAAATGGGTGGTGCACCTACCCCAAAACGGTACCAAAACGGTTTGGACCCACAGCCCCTTCCCCCATTCCCCTGGCGCTGGCTTTCCAAGCCGTGGTGCATGCGCTGCTCCAAGCGCTTCTTCTCCTCCACCTCGATGGCGGCGCGCTTCAGGTCGGCCTCCTGCCTCAGAGCGCAAATTCGGCAGATCGGGGGCCTGGAGCACTCCCAAAATGCCATCGGTTTCTCTGGGGTTTCCCTTGAAACCAAGAAGGGTACCCGGGTACCCTGAGAAAATCCGGACATCCTGATTGCTGCAGAAGTGTACAACGGATATAAATACATGGCACCGGTTATTGACTAGGACAACGCTCACAAACTGACAAACGTGGATTCCACCTACACATCCCCAGCCGAAGGACCTACACCATCGCAAGCTGCTTTAGCTCGCCATAGAATAGGCAAAGGAATCCCCCTCGCTGGGCATCAGGTGAATCCAACATTACTTACCCCAAGTGATGTTCAAGCCGAATTTGGCTAGCTAGCATTACCATGCTTTGCCAGTATCTAGGTCAGCCCCTGTCGGCAAAGGGGTACCTCCAAATTCCGACTAGGAAACCAGCGCCAAGGCGATATGGGCCCAATCTGGACGTCTGGCCGTCCACGGACTAAGGCCTCCGCTGCATGGCCTTCTCCATGACCTGGCTTCCCACCAACATCTTCTCCTCCATAGCCTGAAGGCAACACTCAGGCTCCAAACAGGGGGTCTGGACAAATCGAACACTTACCCATCCAATTTAACCTTCCTATCGGGCAAATTGAACATTGTTATTTTGCGCACGGAAGGATCAAGGCCTCCCTATCATACTAGTTCGCTCTCCCATTGCAAATTGTTGGGGCTCGGGTGAAATTATGTGGAATCATCCTTGGATTCACCCTGTGCGCTTGACCAATCAGCCATTTCACCATCGCGCAGTTTGAAATGTTATAACGATTGACTGGAGTAATATTGACCTGTCCGATGGAAGAGTTGCAGCTTCATCCTCAAACACGCGCCCGTACGAGACCACCGAGTATCCGCTCTCAATGCAAGGATGCTATCCTCGTAACATGATGCATCCTCGTGCCATGAGCTAGTAAAGTTGCTACCTGGCACTTTGCAACAAACAGCGCATCCCATTGCAATTGGAGAGCACATGCTGTGGCGGTTGTCAGGGAGCTCTAAAGCACCTTTCCGAGATCTGTTTGCGCCAGCCACGGTACGCGGTCCTTGCGGCAGGAACCCTCGGCCAGGCGTGACAGCCCGGCCCATCAGCCAACATCACACCTTCGCAATTCAGGAACTCCTTTCAACAAGGGCTTTCCTGAAATGCTGGCAGTACGAGCATTCAAAAATCTTCAAAGCTTGCTTTGAGAAGGATCTGGCTTGCCTCCGCTCGTTTCACTTGGGATGTGCGCTGCGTTACTGGTTTTCCCAATGCGCAAGGCTCGCCTTGAGGTTCTGGAGCATCTTCTCCTGCGCCTGGGCCTCCTGGTCCCTCTGCCGCCTCTTCTCCTCCAAGGCCTCCAGCAGCTGCTGCTTCTCCTGGTCCGCCATCTCCTGCGCGGCCGATTGGCTTATCCCCCTCCGGAAGCAAAGCTGACTTCACTCCCTGAATTAACATGGCTTTGCTTAGGTCTTGCCCTTGAAAGGTCAAAAGCTCGCAAACGTCACTGGCCCTGTAAAGTCCAGCATCTTGCCCTTTCCGGCGTTGCGTTTTGCTGCCCGGGGTGAATCTGTTTTCAGGGTATCACTCTCTTCGGCTTCGATACAGTTCAGGGTTTCCTCCCTTCAACTAATTAAGAGTCGCACCTTCAAATGAACCCTCCAAGCCCATCTGAAAGTGTGACTCTTTCTTTTCCGAGAGTTCCCATGGATTTCGGTATCCTTATACTTTCCCCTGAAAGCCACAAAGTGGGTACCCTCCAAAACGACGCACCCGTCTGGCTCGGACCCAGCACGAAACCCATCGCACGCTCGCTCGGCCTTCTGAGCCTCAATGGCCTGTCGCTCGGCGTTGAGCTGCGCCTCGATCTCCAGGCGCTCCTGCTCCACCTCACAGCTCTGAACCAAACAAAGGGTAGCAACCAAACTGGCTAGGGTTAGTCAACTGGCTGTGGGTCAAAACCCTGTACACCTAGTGAACATACAAATAGGTGGTACATGGCTGTTCATCCGCGGCATAGCTTATGCCACACTCGGTTCAGATTGCCAAACTTCAATCGAGCTGATAGCTTGTCGTATTTTGGAAGATGCCAAATGAGGGGATCTCAGTTGTCCTGATCCGTAACCCGTAGTGCCACAATCCACCACAAATGAGTGAAACCACTACATTCTGGCATAACGACAAAGGCTTGGGCAGCCATGTCCCTCAGCGGCCGCCTGAAGTTGCATGCGCTGCACGTCTTCATCAGTAACGCCTGAATGCACGATCTTCTCAATCAGCACCTCCTTTTCCACGATCCTTGGTGACACTTTTGGGCACTTCAGTAACACCAAGTCATGGATGGAGATCACCCTTTCTTGCCAGGAATCGGTCAGTTTGTTCTGTTTTGCAGCACGCTTGCAACATCCTGAAGCCCTCTTGAGCTGCAATGAGAGTGGCAGGCCCGAAGGGAACGTGAACGGCTGCGTCCCATTCTACTCAAATGTGTAATTTAGAAAGTGTAGGTGCTTTGCAAAACCGTGCAGAAATCCGCACAGGAAGGGACATGGAGAGTGAGTGCTTCCGCACTCTGAATCCCCAAGTTTGAACAAAGGAGGTATAAACCAACAACAATGGCGGAAGGCATTCCGCCAGACCGGCCTCTCCACTTCCACCACTTCCTTCTCGACCACCACCTCCCCGGGGTCTCCCGGCACTGGGGGGCGTGGCACACCGGCTCCGCCACCCGCCCGCGCTTGCAGTTGCTCTTTGAGGCGGGTGATCTCATCCTGAAACTCCCGGATCCTAGGAGTTCAGCGGCACTGGCGCATTTCTGGGTTTCAGTTGGTTCTGGATTTTAAGTGGAAATGGACACTTTGGTGAACATCAGAAACACCTGTTTCTTTGGTTTTATGCAACCGCCAGTTTTGAGGGCGTTGCAACCATTCAAATTCCTGGCCACACTTGATGCCAAACAAAACATGCGCGGACACATGTCCTGGGAACACAACCTATATCCAAGGGGCATAGCATCTTTTGGATCCTCATTGATTCTGGGCTTGTTCTTGATGCTCTTTGCACGGTGGGCGTAACGAAGAGTACTCAGCGTCTCATCGTAGTTGTAGTCCACCGGGCCGATGCACGCACACATCACCGTCTTGGTATTGCCACCCAGCGAGTCCTGAAGCGACTTGCCGTCTTCTATTTGCCTCTGGCAGTTCCACACTGCACACCTCAGACCAAAATGAACGGCACCATGCGCTAAAGAAAGGCCGTGTGGCCCCTGCACGTGCAAGCTGAGCCTTTTGGGAGACGGGTTCCCATGACAAAGACCCGAGTCCTGGAGCAGCCTGGTGAGCTTCGAGTCTCGGTATGGGATAAAGGAGGTCTTGGAGTCCACGAGTGCGGAAATCACATTGCCCAGGGCACTCAACGACATGTTGATCTTGGTGGCTTCCTGCCAAGCAAGTTTGCCACCCGTGCTTACAGGACTCCGATCGGTAGCTCCTTAGCTCCGACTTTAAGGGCAAACTTGGAGACCCGCAGCTCTTTAGCTCCCTTCCTACCAGCTAGTTTGTATCTGCGGCGCGTTTGTGTGGGTGGTGTACCCAGGCGGATGGGGCCCTGCCTTCAAGGTGTCTCCAGTGGCACCCGTCTTGCTCTGCCGCTCTGAACCTGCCAAGTCCACCATGTTCATCTTCCCCACGCGGACGTGGTCCTGGCCATCCAGTCCTCCCAGGTTGTCCAATAACGGCTAAACATGGCTACACCGCACACGCACACATGACTGCCACGTGACGCATTGCCTGCTTGCTGGGCAGAAATAGTTGCACCCACCTAGCTGTAGTTAGTGTGCTTCTGGCTGTAGACCGTGTCAATCTTGGGCATCATAAGGAAGATCTAAACTTTGAGTGCAAAACACACGCTTTGCTACATGCTTTTACATCAAGGTGTGTGTGTGTGTGTGTGTATGTCTGTCCTTTAGGCTTCCCTTTGCATTTTGTTACCCGTGCTTTTCAGCTTTATTTTTCCATGTGCTGAATAGCGCCTTTGCAAATAGCCGAGTTTGTGAAAGCAGACGCTCGACATGCAGTGAGGCTGGGCATGTCTGGGGCTTGCCTTTAGGTTTGGCAAGGCCCCGGAGCCCAAAGTCCAGAGAGGCAATCACGCGCTGACAGGTGCTTTAGGCAGCGCGATTGAAATTTATCTTGAGTTGTTCTGTTTCATTTACATGTTATTTACTTTGTTTGTGGTTTGATGAAATGTTTCTGGAAGGTACGGCCCCAAAGGGACATGTGTGTTACATTTCCCGGACCGTTTAGGCCCGAATGATTGCTTTTTTTTACATTTCTAGGCCCTAGTGTCCTTCCCCTTCATTCCCCTACCCTCTCCCCTGCGTGTATTAACATTCCCCTTAAAAATACTTCCACACCAGACGGAAATAAGCGCCTAATGTTCTCCTCACATAAATGCACTCCCAACTGTAAGCGTTTAAACAATCCTTCATTTCAAGCCTCTCATAAACATAAACATCAACCATTCCAGGAAGTGCGGTCCTTTCTCCAGGATCTCAACAGTGACGGTGAAAATGGAGTGCGACCTGCTGGACTCATTGTTCATGAGCGTGCTCGCAACGCTGCGATTCTTCTGTCCAACCTGCAGCTGCGCCAAACAAACAAGATTGCCTCGTCGCCGCTCACGTTCTGACCCATCATCAACCCACACATGCAGGTGTGAACCAGTTCAAGAGCTACCTATCACGAAGCCTGACCTTAAACAAAAGTCCCTTGCATCAGCTGCGGGCAAGGTGCTTCCATGACTTGCTGTAGATCGGTGACACCCTTGACAATCATGACAGTCAGGTCCTTCACGAAGACCCCACCCTCTGGATGATCCTTTAATTCCAACTTCTGCTTTGGATTTTTAGACAGGAGGTCACGGATCCTTAGCTGCCGGTGACACAGCAAGCGCATGTTCGGGCAATTTCACACTTTGTGGTGTGCTTGACTGCCTTGATGGCAACAACCATGTTTTCGGATGCACATGCCAACAAAATGCATCGAAACCTGCCCCCCCCCCCTCCCCGAAGCGGCCCTTCCCCATAACTAATAATGTATGGAGAGGGCTCTCGCAACCAGCTCCCACTAGCCAGTCAGCACCAAGCCACTCTTCATTGTAGATCTCTAGGTAGGAAGCTCGGACGAGGAATGTCCGATTCCCTCCGACGTTCACATTCCTCGGGCAAGCCACGAAAATGCGGTCGCCTGCGTGCAACATGCTTCAAGCGCAAGCCTGCAGACTGCAGTTGCCACTCCCACCCTCCCATTCAGCCTCCAAGAAGTGCATGTCGCCCTTCACTCACACGGCAACGGCATGGCGTTGAGCTTGTTTCTTCATCTTTCCCGACCAGCACAGGGTCTTCCCAAGGTGCTTTTACCCAGGCAAAGCATGGGCTCTGACAAAGAGCAAACACAGCACGTCAACGTTTTGCCCCCAGGATTTGGCTGGCTTGTGTTCCAAAGCTTTCGTTGCTACCCGATCCTTACAGGCTACCCAAAGAATCACCCTCCTTTGTTTGGCATGCTTCTTTTGAATGGTCTCCCCCCAAAAACAAAACATGAGGGTAAATTTGCTTCTTTCCTAGGGGCGGCTTTTCAAGCTGGGGCATGCATACCGAATGAGGACTCACTTGAGCCATATTCCCAAAACAACCCCACAGCAGTTGCCTAAACTCGCTCGCGAAGCCTGACCAAACTTAGCCCCAAGCCAACAACCGATCCAATCAAATCTAAACCCACCCAACCAGCCCAGAGGAAACAAAAGCACCTCAATTGTTGCCTTGAGCACGCCTAAACAAACCAACGACTCGCCAAATGGAAGCTCGCTTAAGACATTGGAGTTCCCGAAGGCCATCATACCAATCACCCCACCCCAAGAGGTCATCCACCTGGAATGCTAATCCACAATTTGAAGCGAAACACCACTGCAACAAGGGACATCACAAACATCCGGCAAGTTGCGGATTCAGATCGAACCACCCGGCACCGGAACTTACAAAACCTTCCTCAGATTTGGAACAAAACGTTTGCAGGTAAGCTTAAAAACCTTCCGAAGGCCAAAGCCGCTGGAAGATGTGCGCGAAGGTCCGGGGGATCACACCATGCAGCTCCTGTGGCTCCGCAGGTCCAACCATGGTGTGGGTCTTCCCGGTGCCCGTCTGCCCATACGCGAAAATGGTGCCGTTGTACCCGTCCATGACGCCTCGAGTCAAGTGAGCAGGCCATTTAATGGTAGGACACAAGGGGCTAAATGAACACGACCTTCCTGAAGCAGGTCGATACATGGGCTCAAACAATTCACCGACGTCAATTTATGACCCATTTAGGTATCACCATCGGTCATTCATGGCTCTACGTACACGACAGTACTTCGGGACCCGGGACAATTTGCTGTCATTGGGTGCTGGAAAAGGTGGGATAGTGGATGCTGAAGTGGGGTGGCCCTAGGCCTAAAGGCCAAAGCAAGTTGCATATGTGTCGAAACTAAAAATTACTTGTGTGTACGTGTTTGTGTGTGTGCGCGCGGAGGTGTGAACACAAGAAACGTTGTATGGCCTAGGCAAACACAGCATAAGCAACAATTACACGCTTGAAACATGTCATATCCCGTTGATGCCAGGGGGTTCGACTGCTCCTGCATCTGTGTGTTTTTTCTGACCCAGGATCGAGATGTCTCAAGAGAACAGTGGGAGCTGCCTACCAAGCTTCCACAGGAGACCTTTTCATTGGCTCACTCAGCGAAGGGCAACGAAGCTATGCAGCAAATAAACGGGTGACATCGAAACGCCGGAAGCATTTGAATCGCAGAAAGGGCCTCCCTGGAAGAAGCCGTCACCACTTGCTGTGGGCATGGGTGTTCATAGGGGCGAACAGTTGGCATCGTGTGGTCCCAGCCCGAGTTGGAATATTGGAAGTCCAGAAGTACATGTAATGTAGCAATGTTTGGAACTTAAAAACTCTGTTCTACCCTCATCTCAACTGTGATGGCTCAACCCTGTGAGGCTTGAGGCTAACTGACCTAAAGCTCCGAAGCTCCATAAGGTACTCCGTTCACAAGCACGCCGCATCAACTCATACAATAATGCAAAACCGTACGAACAAGATTGCCAAAGTTAGTCGGCGCCAGCAATTGATCAACAACCAGGGAAATCAGCCGAGATCGGCCCCAACGACAAGATGTCTATCGCAAAACTTCTCGGGATCCAAGCACCAGCTCGCACTCAAAACAAGCACACAACCTTGAAGGCTGCAGATTTCGCACCGCTGCTGCCGCATCTTGGGCACGCTGCGTGCGGCCAAGTCGCTCTCGACCTGAGAGAGCCAAAAAAACACCAACAAAAACCGTACTTCGCAGCTTCTCTTAACAAGTGCCCGTCTATGACAGCATGTTGCCATCATTGCAGACTCAAGCGTTTGCCGAAATCGGCCAATGAGTAGAGGCGACCGGACATGCAAACTCTGAGCCGCGAGCGACAGGATAGCCTGTGTGCTCGTAGAAGTCCGCCTGCACCGCGTTGGCATCATAGACTGCATCGAAGGTGAAGTCCTTGTAATCTTTGGTACCTGTCAGGACTTGTTCAAAGAGGTGGTGCCGCCAGGACCCAAAGAGGTGCATACAGAACCTTAGGCAAATTATCTGAACAACTAGTGTCTGTCTGGTCAAGCGGGAGAAACTGCAGCGAGGCAGCATTTGGCACCCCGTGCCTGGTCTGCAGACTCGAGCAAGCCCAGTGCGTGTGTCCTTGGATATGTGCGGAATGACCTGCACTGCTTTGAGATCCAAAATCAAATCCTCCTGACCCCCTGGCTTGCATCCCCAAACTCATGCCGACCAGGCTCCATTTCCACAATAGCTTCTCTGTTGTCTATCTTCTCTTGGTTGCTCATCGGCCGGCATCTTATCACGACCTTCACGCACTCCTGAGCTGCCATGGATGGATCTTGGCTTCATGCGAGCCACAGCGCCGCAACCTGGAACGCTACCGTCATTCCAAGGCCTGATCAACCTGCGACATACGTCCAGATGCAGAATGCGCATGTAAAGAATGGCTGAATGTCTCAAATTATGTTTTTTGTTGACCTAGCAACTGCGCAGGCTCCAAGTTGAAGGGGCGTTCTTGCCATCCCTGGCGCAACATGGCGCAACCCAGCAGCACAATTGCTGAAAAAACCCAATGGCACGGCCTCAAACAGCAAATGACTTCCTGTCCAGCAACACATCTTCGCCCGCCCAGAAATTCCTAAACTCATTCGCGTCCAGGCTGCCCTCTTGTCTTCCGCCATGGCTTCTTTTAACCAAAGGCTCAGAGTCTACCGGAGGTTTTTTGTCTTGAAGCAGGGTGTAGGGTGGAAAGTGGTCCAGTTGGCTGGGCTGAGCGCCGCTTTCCGGCAATGATTCCAAACGAGTGGGCTGACTCAGGATATGGGTACAAATGATTGTCATCTGCGTGGAGAGGTAAAAGCTTGAGAAGCCAAGATGTCACCACAGCTCAGCAGCGTCGTAGCCCTTGAAATCTGCCAGCCAATTACCTGGTTCCCCGTGCTCAATTGCTTGCGGGCCTGCCCGCATATGCCAGCAGCTCGTTGTTGCTGCAACACAGCACAACCAAACATATTCATCAACACCATTGGCATAACATCAGGCTGTCGACCGACATTTGCTACAGCCAACCCCTCTGCCCTTTGCTCTGCCCTTTACTCTGGCAAGGGCGATGCGATTGGCACTACCTCTCGGGCTGCTGTGAGACCTCCCTGGGTGAGACAGGCGCACAAAAGCGGGTGCGCGCTAAACAAGAAGGCAGCGCTCTCTGTCTGCCTATCTGCCCGGAGCCGCCTTGTCTACATCATTCTTCATGACTCCGATGCCCATAAAGCACCTGAGATGCAGCAGGAATCGCCGAGAAACGCAAACACATGCAAAATCCGCACTGCTGCTCGAACACTTTGCGAACGGGCCACAAGCGAGCTTACATTTGCTCCTTCAAGCCAGGCTCCACCAACCAGGAGAAACAGACTCGAGCAAAATGAACTCTTCCCACCATTGCAGCGTAGGCTCATCACCATCAGGCCTGCATCAACGAGAGGCCCGATTCTAGCCTCAGGCTTGAGAGTTTGGAAGGGCTACCTTCAGACTCCGCACATAAAAACGCTTGTCTGAACTGATGATATTCCAGCAGCATTTGGAGGAGTTCACATAGAGAATAGAGAGAGCATCGTTGCTTGGTAAATTGTTGGGCTGGTGCCTAGCTGCCTTTGCAAACATCTGGCATTGGGTGAATCAACGGCCTATGGCATGGTGATTTTGCTGCGACCAACGCCATGCTCCCAGTGACCCGGCAACGTCAGCGAAAGGCTACACAAACAACGTGTCTATCCCTGGAAGCCCTCTTTATGGACCCCACCTGGTGATTTCTTTCGGGTTCCCTCCTCCATCTTGACAATCACTAAGGACACCCAAAAGGAGCGCAACATGGCATCGGTGTTCCTGTTGGCGTCCCTCTATGCCAAAAAGGGTATCGGCTGATGCGCGGCCGGGCGGCCACCTGGGTGGTCGCAGCAGTGCGTGCTGGCGGGTCGAGAAAGGCCAAGAGCTGATCCTGCGAGAACCCCCCTCCCTTGTGCTTGGTGGATCTCGTCACGAAAATTGGATGGAATCAAAGGACCAGCTTTGGGGTTGACCATTTGTTGGTTAACGATTCGTTGGCTGGCCATTTTTTGGCTGACCATGTTTGGGCCCCTTTAGCCGCTCACGGCAATGGCCAGGCCTTGCGAATACCGGCTCTGACGACTCGGGGGTTGGACATGGGCCCCTTACGGCCAAAATAAGGGCCTCTTCAGTGCAAAAGCGTCCAGCCCAATGCCCCCAGAGATACAGCTGGATTGACCATAGGAGTTCAGGAGGAAGTTTGGGACCCACAAGCCGTTCTCAAACCTCGGGTGCACGGAAGGCAAAGCACGGGCTCAGCTTTGGGAATATGCAGAATGCCATGCCTGGTCGTCGATTGCGTTGAAGCCACCGGGCACGGAAAGGAATCCTTGGCGAAATGCAAGCTAGGACAAATACATACCCAAGGGGGGTGTCGCAACGATATCCGGAGGGCATATGCGCATGTTGGAAAGGAACCCCAGCCTGAAACATGCTGGCCAAGGGCTGGTTGATTCAGAGGGCGTTGCACGGCAGCAATTCCCGGTGCTCGCTGAGCCATGGATGTCCCTTGCACCCGGCCACCGGTTACGTAACATGTAAACTCGCGTTCATGCGTCCTCTGCGGGACTGCGGACAATTCGGCTGATCACTGGGTGCTTTCTGATGATCCAGGTATAGGGATCTTTGATTTGCTGGCACTTTTTAACCTTTTGTCTGGCATAAGGCTACCGGTCATTTTGTGCACTGACTGGAAGGCCACTCTTCCTGCCGATGGGCGGCGAGCCAACAGCCATGTCACTTGTTCCATCATGCAGCAGCTCAATGCCATGGGAAGCCTCCAAGGATAGCTCGCAAGGAGCTCTCTAGGACATGCAAATTGTCCATCCTTTGCGGCACTCGTCTAGCTTTGTGCGTAGACCACCGGTTTCAATCTCGCTGAACACTATACCGCTTGTCTTGGCTTAGAATATGCCTGATGGTCCATTTCCGCACATAGATGTTCCAACTGAAGTCCTGATTTGCCAACTCCTCAGCGGAAGTGGCAAGTTGCCAAACTCACTCAAGCTTGGAATCCAGCCGGAGACGATATGTCCTCATTCGCTTTGTTGCAAGCCAAAGGCCTGATGTGTGGTCTCTGACATGGGGTTTGTTTGTTCGAAATTGCGCTTCCATTTTGGCGACTATGTCACCTCTCCCTGATCCGTGAGTGCTTGCGTCCCGGCATCCGTGACGCAGGTAGAGTACTGCGGAGCGGGGAAAAGGCGGTGCAAAACAAAAAAAACACCGGGTGCGCTGGTGCCCGGCCTTCTTCCTTAGTGAAGTTCTGCTAGGGGAACGCTGGACCTATGGCGCATTCCAACAAGCTGGTCTGGCTCATCTTGCCTTGGTTAATCCCATCCTCTTTCATGCGGCGGTCCGTGCGTGAACCTCTCCTACACGTGGACGGCTCCTATGGACCCTCTGAGACGTGGACCTTGCCCCTCCTGTATGTGAACCCCTCCCATACTTGGACCGCCCTTTGCGTGGACCAGTCAACCGCTCGAATATGTGGACGGGTGGACGCTTCCTGCACGTGCACAGGACACGCGCGCACCTTTTCACGGATGTGGACCCTTCCAACACATGGACCCCCTGTTGGTGGTGCATGCGTCAGGGAACTTGCAATCCACACTTCGCGCTTTATATTCACGGCCAGTGCACCGGATTTGCATCTTGGATGTGGTGGCGCTCTGTGCCATCACGCGTGCCATAAGAACATTGAGCTTTCTTCACTACCAATCAAGAAAGACATTGCACCAGGAGTGCCTCGAGAACTTTGGAGAGGCAAACACTTTTGCCTCTAACGCCAGCCCCCCGCCCACACCTGGACGCAACTGGACACTCTGCGAGGCGCTTCTCAGAACAAGAAAAACCTGACCCAGAAAGGTGAGGTTTGAGCCACCATGAAAATCATGAAATACAAGACGTGGTCTTGAAGTGCACCTGCGGTCAAGAAGCGGATGTACTGACCCGAAGTGCTGGACACCTGATAGTCGCCGCCAGTCTTGTCTTCCAAAAGATATTGGCGCGACTGATCCTCGAGAGGTCCCAGCAATCAGGTTTTGCAATCACAAATCCCCCGTAGGGAACCTTGAATCTTGAAGGTCAGTACCCTCACAAAAAAAGGCTGTCATCTCGTTTGAGCAAGGCATTCGCAAGGATGACAGTCCTAAAGGATGAATTCTCAAAACAAGCAGCACTATTTGGAGAATAGCTCGAAGGAGCTCACCCGTCTCATGGAATTTGCTGTTTGCATGCCGCATCCCCTCCGCTCCTTCGTGCTGATGATGGACACGGCTGATGTTTGCGATGCCATTGCCTCCAAATCGAAGCACCATAGGCAGGATGGCGATGCCGGAATTTGGGGAGTCTGTTGCTCACTCTCCTCTTAACAACATATGGCAAGTCTTGAGTGGCCAAGTTTGACGCAATATTCTCGCCTATGGAGCTCAATGGTAGGGGCCTTCTCTTCAGTAGGAATGTATTTCACGACCTGTGGTTTGGCCTCATAATCGCACACACGCACCCACCTTTCTTGCAAAGTCATGTTGAGCAGCATCACGATATGTCAAAGCCATTTGAAGGAAACAGCTGCATGTGCTTCAAATCAGTCATTGCTGCGTGCGTGTGCCTGCACACATGCGTGCCTACGCTAAAAAAATCCAATCACATCACGTGCATGCGTACGTGCACGCGTGCGTGCGTGCGTTCATTCGCGTGTGCATGTGTGCATATTGTGTAAGTGTGTATGTGTGCATGAAAGAGTGTGTGTGCGCGTGTGCGCGTGCGCGCGTGCGTGCGTGCGTGCGCGCGAGCCTGCGTGCATGCGTGCGCGCGTGCGTGCGTCTGTGGGTCTACGTGCGTGTGTGTGTGTGTGTGTGTGTGGGTTTGCTTGTGTGTGTGTTTGTGTGTCTGTGTGTGCTTGCGTGTATGTGCTTGTGTGTGCTTGTATGTGTGCGCGTGTCTGCGCGGGTTGCGTGTGTGTCACTGTGTGTGTGCCCAAGCGTATCTGTGTGCGCGTGTGCCTCTGTGTGTGCGTGTGTTTGCGTTTGTCTGTTGCGTCTGTGCATGTGTGTGTGTGTGTCTGTGTGCGTGCGTGCGTACGTCTGTGTCTCTGTCTCTGTCTGCCTATCTGTCTGTCTCTGTGTGTGTGTGTCTGTCTGCTGGCTGTCGCCGTCAGTTTCTATCTCTCTCTCTCTCTCTCTCGCTGTCTGTCTTGTCTGTCTGTCTGTCTGTCTGTCGTCTGTCTGTATCTCTGTCCGTTTCTGTCTCTCTCTCTCTCTCTGTCTGTCTGTCTGTCCGTCTGTCTGTGCGAGTGCGCGCGCGCAAGCGTGTGTGCGTGTGCGTGTGTGCGTGTGTGCGTGTGTGCGTGTGTGCGTGTGTGCGTGTGTGCGTGTGTGCGTGTGTGCGTGTGTGCGTGTGTGCGTGTGTGCGTGTGTGCGTGTGTGCGTGTGTGCGTGTGTGCGTGTGTGCGTGTGTGCGTGTGTGCGTGTGTGCGTGTGTGCGTGTGTGCGTGTGTGCGTGTGTGCGTGTGTGCGTGTGTGCGTGTGTGCGTGTGTGCGTGGGTGCGTGGGTGCGTGGGTGCGTGTGCGTGTGCGTGTGCGTGTGCGTGTGTGTGTGTGTGTGTGTGTGTGCTTGCGACAGTGCGT